ATTCATAACTTCACAACTAATATCTGCCATCTCACCACATCCGCATTATCATTTCCATTGCACCAGATGCCCCACTGTTTGTAATTTAGCTCTCCTTTTTGGATTTGGTGATAGTTTCTGTACTTGTTCTTACTCAGCAAGGAGGGGCAAATGAGGGTGGAGTCTAGCCCAGAAGTTTACTGTTTGTTCTGCATCTGCCTACTCAGACAGATCTCTCTCTCTCTCTCTCACACACACACATACATGCACACACGCACGCACACACACACACACACACACAAAGTGTAACTATTACCTATGTAAAATATAAAATGTAGACACAGCAAATGACCTGTGATACCTCCTATGTAATTTCACAAATGCACAAAAGCAGTCTCACAGTGAATCAATTATTTATAATTAATTAACCAATCACTTACCAAATGGGGCAGCAGAGAATCTGAGATCAGCATTGTTCAAGCAGTAATTGGCTGGGAAAGATACACTTCTTGTCACTGGGATTGGGAACAATATCGTGAACACTGTGTTTGTTGTTTTGTATTCAGAATTAATTGATTGCCAGTACGTTCCTCTCAGCTGGGACTGTCAGGTTCCAGGTTGCTGGCTAGAGTCAAATAATTAAAAAGAAGAAAAATGTAGAAGGAGGGGGTACTAATCTTCCAGATTCTCTTGGTTCTTCAACCTCACTTTATGAGGCAGCCATCTTGGCATACTTATCGATTGTGAGACAAGACGACTAATCCCCTTAAGGTCATTAAATGTACTTAATTAAAGAGCAGTTAGCAAGCTTCTCTTTGCTAAAGTAATGTGGCTGTTAAAAGTGATTTGTACTTTACCAATACAGAAGCTATTAATCTGAAGGTCAATTTCTCATTTATATTTTCCCAAACAATTGTATTTGGTGGGTCAAATAAACAGAGAGATGGATCATGCACCTGCTTGATGCAGGCTCTGTAGTCATCATTTAGAAAGACTTTGTCTAGCTGCTCTGTCTATAGTCATCTCAGTCCTCAATGTGACCCGCCCTCGATCATTTTCTTAATGTGAATGCTTTCTTTATAGTGATTGAAGGGAATTTGCTTAATATGAAAAATATAGCTATGTCTTTGTGACTGGACTTGTTTCAAATTCCTTTGAAATGAAGAATGAAAGAACCAGATAAATTTGCATTATGGAATGGTAACAGCTATGACTAATTTAAAGAAAAGTCAAAACTGAGTTTTCAAGGCTCATAGCTGGAAATCATTGGCTGCTGGATTTCTGTCCATTAATTCATGGTATAATCATAGGGAAATGCAGGAGATTGACTGGCCTCTCCAAGCTTTCCCTGTGTGGCCCTTTGCCTTTCCAGTAACATCAGCTGTAACTCTCAGGCTGTATCTGCACCAAGGAGAATGCTTAGTGATGGGGCAGACATCCAGAGAGCTGCTTGGGTTCTAATGAGTTCCTGAGGAAAAGAGGGAGCCAGGGCAGAAGGTAGTGCTACCTTCCATGCTGCAGATGCTTCCTTTAGGTTGGGCTGACACTACCTGCCTTCTGGAGTCCTGGGGAATTGAACACAGCATTCTGAGGAAGAATAGCAAATCTGAGTGTGGGCTAATTACCTTTTGGACTATCTTGCTTCCTTATTCCTGTCCTCTAGCTTTCATTCCTATTTTTTACTTGGAAAATGGATTCTGTAAAGTCAACCATCTGACTTCAGAACATGTAAGAAAACATTCAGCCCCACAGGGAAAAGAGAATCCAACCAAACAACAACGATTTATTGACAGAGGTTCTTTTCAATCTGTGTCTCAAATTACAGTTGCAAAGGTTAGACAATGATAAATGGGGAGACCAAAAAAAAAAAATCAGGATTTTAAAGGGTAAACAACAGGGGAAAAAAGATCTGAGCTCCATGCCTTCAAACAACATGGAGGGAGAGGCTTGACCCTTCCCAACCACTAATTCCTTTGCAATGAAGATAACTACTTCACTTTGGCATCACCTTACAGAGGTGGACCAGATGTGCAAAGCTTAACAATATGGAGGCTGATGTGGTTGCCTTAGACCCCAACAAAGACAAAGCCTATTGTTCTTTCTGGTTCTGGAGTGTGTGTCTCTCTCTGAACTCACCTGATCACAAAGTTCTAACTAAAATGGAATATTGTGTTCTAGATCTTTGGTGATTACTCTGGTATATTCATCTTTCATATGCCATAGCTACAACAGAACTAACATGCATATTGAGAATCTCTTCTGCACCAGAGTAAACTTCTGAGGAGCCTCGATCCAAGTAGACAGGTTTCAGTAGATGGGGATCTTCTATTAGAGATTGGATTTGGAGGTTGGGTTGGGTTAAAGCCTAAAAACCAGAGGAAGATAGTGCAGTAACATTAGCTGATCCTTGGTCCTACCAAACATGTTATCTCTCATGTTATACAATGACCTGGGAAGTGAGTCCACTTTTTGGGCTTGCAGGTTGATCACACCAAACACCAAACAAGATGATTCTGGGAAGAGGGATTGAGGGGTTTGTTTGCTGCACTGATCCTGTAAGGAAGGAGAGGAGCAGATGGGTGAACAGTTATTTCCCTGCCATCACCCCTATACTCAAGACTACAGAGCGAAGGTTCCCTTTGTTATTGGATCTTCTTCTTTCTGACTAGATAAGGGGTGGGAAACTGCAGTGGTAACATCCACATTGTGTGGATAGAAGATTTCTTAGTTTTTTGTTTTTTGGGTTTTAAACCAAATTCCAGGTAGAAGCATTTGACCCTCTGGTTCTAGCATGTGCGTTGATCTGAGGATTCATGCATCTGCAGCTGCAGGGTCTGTGATGCAATCAACCAAGTCCTCAGGTTGCAGTCTGATTTGTTTTCCAGGAGTTTTCACTTCGTTCCTCCTGCATTTTCAAGTTTGCCAATGTCATAGCCTTATCCAGGCCATCTCTTTAGTATTCCTCTTGAGACTATTACAGTTGATTTAAAAATACACTCATTTAGATATTTTCAAGCTGCTTACCAGTTAACAGTAGTTATAATGTCCCATTTATCTAATACAGTTGCTTCTGCTGTTTTGATAATCAGATAAGGGTCATTAAGCCTTTTTTGAGATTAAATAGCACAAAACCATTTTTTTGTGTGTTTATGTGTCCCATTAATATTGGAGCTTATGCTTGCAGTGGCTTAATGTTTCCATTTTTAAATATCATTTATGTTAATATGGAAAGGCTCTATTATCTAATTGTGAGGATTATTGCCATTATCTTCTAGAGTAATCTCTGTAAATATTGGCCTCCATATTTTCTTGAGCTGTCAGAATTTACCTTGACACTTCAAAGGGGGTTCAAAGTATCACTTGCTAGTGTTGCTATTCCTTGCTTTTACAATTTGGTGTTTTGTTTTTCCCAACATGCAGGTGCCTGGTTGCCAGTGTTTATTTAGCTTCTTCCTGTGCTATTATCTGGAGCCTTTATACAGGGGAGTCAGGGAAAACTGTCACTTTAAGTCCACTCGAAATAAGACAGGGGTGGGAGACATAAAGGAGTTTGAGAGTGCATGAGAGATAAGGCAAATCAAGACATGCACCTTTTAAGAAGAGTTCATTTTTGATCTATATTAAAACTTCTCAGAAACAGAAAAGCATAAATCAAGAGGCATATAGAACTTGAAATTATGTACAGCATAGTAGCCCAAAGTCTTTCTATGGATTTTACATCTTAAAATATCTGCAAAGTCCATGTTTCAAACATTGTCTTTTATTATTGATGTAAGTATACCAGTGCATTCCATATCATCCAATTATTAGCTAAAACAAAATCCCCACACTTTTATATATACAGTCTCACTTTCAACAACACAGGGGAAGGTCTTCCCATGACAAGATCACCAAGGTGTTGTGGAATATTATTTTAACTAGGCAAAGGTGTGTTACATTTGTTTATGCTTCAGAATTTCACTTATCTATGTAAGGTGTGCCACTTGTCACTTTTGTTTATGCCTCATTTGCTTAATGCTGTAAAGATGTGTGTTTAATTATGTAAAGATTTATTGCACCTGTTTCACCTTGCCCGCCTAAGGCACCTGATTGGTCTAATAAGAAACCAAGTGGCCAATTGAGGCAGAAGAAAGGGTAGGTGGAGTTGCTGGGCAAAAGGAATAAATAGGAGGAGATCTCCAGGAAAAGAAGAAAAAGAACAAGAAAAGGAAAAGGAGGAAGATGCCCAGGCCAGAAGCCAAGTATCCCCCTCCCACACTCCCCAGCCAGCAGACATGAGAAGTGAAAGTAAGATCTACAAAAGGAAAGAAAAGCAATGAGCCCTGAGGCAAAAGGTCGATAAAGAGATAACAGGTTAATTTAAGTTAAAAGAGCTAGCCAGAAAAAAAGCTATGCATAGGCTGGGCATTGAAAACTAATGATAAGTGTCTGTGTTAGGATTTGTGGGCTGGTTGGAGGCCTAAAAGAAAGAAAAGCCGGGTACACCTACCTAGGCATTCGTTTGCTTGGTTTTTAACTAAGCACAAGTTGTGTTGCTCCATGCACAGTGTAACCCTGTAACACCCCAAATATAGATGTAGCCTCTCTGGGTGGTACTACATTTGCACAAATCAGCTCCCTGGATTAGTCTGTACTTCCGTTACCTGAGTACACAACACTTCTTCCTGCCCATGCTGTTTGCTCAGCACAGTCATGGCTCAGACCTCTTCAGGTAATGTGGTGTTACCATCTTCCTATCCTGGGGACCCTCCACATAAATGCCAGCTGGAAAAAGTACAAAATTTGATATTTGGTCAACACCAACCTAATACTTGGTCCTGTGAGAAAGATACATACATACATACATACATACATACATACATACATACATACATGGTTTTGTTTGTTGTTATTGCTGTTTAGAGATGGGATGTTATGTCAAACAGGCTGGCCTCAAACTCACTATCCTGATTCAGCCTTGCTAGGAATACGGGCATCTCCCACCATGCCTAGGTCATAGATAATGTTTCTTAAATGCCAACATGCCATATGAACTTCAAAGAACACCAAAACCTGCTACCAGTGGAAATGGGTATAACTGTAAATCCTTGGCGGTAGCATCTGAGATGTGTTCTCTGTCCCAGGTGCTCTATGTTACATCTCACAAAACTCTCACCCAAGTGATGGTCATTAGGAACCTGTCTCTTCTCCTGATGGGTAAACTGAGACATTAAAGCACTCTTTGAAGAGGTACATTGCTAATGAATGGGTGAGCAGGGATTTAACTTCAAAGACCTTGTTAATGAGCAAGGACAGGAAAGCAGTGAGAAAGATCCCTGACTTTAAGTGTGTGTCTTCTTCATAGGGAAGTTTGACTTTTATCCAGTTACCTTTTTCTCCTTACTCACTGACCCAGCTTCTGAGCAAATTCTCCTGTATAAAGGTAGAGAAGAACTCTGTGTGTAAAAATGTAAAATAAATATCCTAATACAGTAGGTCAGCAATCTCATTTTCTCTCCATAGTCATTGTGTTGTTAAGAAGGGCTAAATTTAAATAGTAATGTAATATTTTCATTTGATATGAAATATTAATGGTGATTCTAAACTCCATTTTCAAGGAAATTATTGGTCACATCTGTGTCTACAGTGTATTCCTTTACTGCCCTTATCTTGGCTGTCTTTGATTTAGACAAAATGCATTAAGCTTGTATTTATCTCTCCTCAGGTATTCATGACACTTGAAAGATTGTTTAGTTACACTTGCACTCCTCAGCCTGAGCATGCAGTCTGCCAAATGGAATTACAGTGCAAGGCTAATAGATGTGATGTTTCTTGTCATCCTGTGAAACTCGGTCCATCACACCACAGACTTTTTAGTGAAGACTGGTCCCTCTTCGTCCTCACAGCAGAATGTGTTTTAGTTACAAGTTTCCTCAGTCCTTTCAGAGGTGAATACCAGCACCCTCTTTATCAATGCCTTCGTGAAGGACACTGCCTTCTTGTCCTTAGGTGGCCTCACACTGCCATGCCATGCAATGAGAAGAAAGTATAGATTTGTATAGTATTTGACTTTCATGTTTTTATTTTCTTTTGAACTCTGCAGCTTCCTTCTTCTGAACTGAAGGTTCCTAGACTGTTTGTATTAAACGGATCTCAGTACTCACCCACTTCATTAGGGAATATAGGGAAATTGTGGCTAGTATCATTTGTCTTCAGGACTTCTGGAGATTTGGGGGAGGGGGAATGTGGAGGAGCATTCTCTCTGTGTGCTGCTAGCTGTTTACTGCTCTGCCTTCTGTTGTTCCTGTTGCATCATAGTAAATGAGCTTCATCAGCTTCCACCAAATGACCACAGGGCCTTATGCTCCTGCTCATCACACTTCTTGGGAGACTCTTTGACCTCCTTCATCTCTGCTCTTTTTGCCCCTTTCTGAAGACACACAGTACATTTTCTCTGGCTTGGAATTTAGTTATGGGAAGAAAATAATACAAATTAGATGCTTTTGAAGTACAAGAGTTAGGGTAGACAGAGGGAATTTGGGCATCTCTCTCTCTCTCTCTGTGTGTGTGTGTGTGTGTGTTTGGGCATCTCTCTCTCTCTCTCTCTCTCTCTCTCTCTCTGTGTGTGTGTGTGTGTGTGTGTGTGTGTACACACACCAATATATGTATATGGGGGTCATTGGCATTATCTCACCAAACTTTATTTTATTTTTCTCTGCCTGTTAACAGTGAATGATGGAGCTATAATAAAATTTATGTTGAAGTAGAAGGCATGGTCATAGTTCTCCCATGGCAGTCACGTTGTCTGAATGTAGAGCTCCTGCAGACTCCCTCACACTACCTCAGCCCTCAGTTCCAGGCTCCAGCCTACCTTCCATTTAAATCTTTGCTCAATTATTTACTTGTTTTGTTAGCAATCTGATGTTTAAACCCTAAACTCTCTGAATTATTAACATTTTAATCAGTAAGAATATATAATTTAGGGCTCAAACTGCTTAACCTGTAATCTTTGTTTGTATTTTATTTGTCTTTCATGTATTTCCTGCTATGCTCAGATGACTCTTCATGGCCTCTTTATTCTAAGTGATACAGAGATGGACTTGAACAAGTAACTGTATCTACTTCTGAGGAGCCTGGAGGAAATGGTGCTATGTATCTGCAATGCAAGAGGCTGAGGAAGGCATGGCCATGGCTGGCAACAGCTGCTATACAGTGTAAAGATAGAAGAAGGGAGAGTTGCCATGTAGGTTTTAGATTAAAATGAAGGCTTTGTCATCCCATTACCACTCTGACTCAGAAGATGGAGTGTGGTGAGGATGATAGAGTCTACAGAGTCTACATTGCTTATAAATTATTGCATTTGATCAAGTGGAAATCTGAAGGTTTTCAGGCCATTAAATAGATAATCTTGACTAGAGACCAACATAAGATGAAGATGGTTTCTCTTAAAAAAGATATAAGAAATGTAAAATAAATATTTTTCTTATTTTATTTCAACATGTAATGCATGAAGCTGATTTATTTTCCAAATGAAAGCTTCTAAAAAGATATTCTCTACAATAACCTGCAAAACCAGTCCTGATTATTGGAACTGAACATTGACTAACTAAGAATGGATACACTTATGATCAACTAGAAGTTTTTTTGCAGGAAAGTGCATGGATGCAGACAGAAATATTTAAGAGACAAATATTGGTGTGATATATTTCAGTGTAGCAAGGCAATGTTACTTGCAAATTAGTCACTGGCAATGTGCTTGGCTTTGTTCCAGGAAGTTTGAAATAAGGTTCCTTCCTTGGGAGTCCTGTCCCCCAACTCCATTTGTTTTCTTAAAACACTTTTGCCTCCAGGACTTCATGTTCAACCAAGATTTCCTTTCTCCAGACATGTGTCTGTAATATAATGTATATCCCTATCTCTAAGAACAGTGCCTGCCCTGTGTCTAGGCAGATGAATATGCAATTTGCAGGTTGCTGATTAAAATGAAAGTCTAAGAGTGTACACAAATGTCTGGTCACAGTTTTAAAAGGAAATCTCAAAGGCTGACAGAATATCCTCCCCTTGTCTATACAACTCAACAGCTTGAGTTCATGTCTATGCAGTGAGCCTCTTACTGTATCTCTTAAAGAAAGAATGAACCTGTGTGTGAACCACAGCCAGGAAGACTTTGGCTGAGAGACTGTGTCTGAAGCAAATGCCCCATGAGAGCCCCCTCCTGCTCCCCCATTCCTCTGCTTCAGTATTCTTGGCCATTGATATACAAGCAACAGATACTCATGGGATTTCCCTTGGCACTGAAGAAAAACCCAGTTTTAGATCATAATAGCGCAGCTAGTGGTGAAGAACACAATGTTATCAGTCAGCTTTTACCTTGGCACCTTGGGAAGGGGCTTGGTGTGGAGAGCAGAGAAGCAGAGGATAGGGGAAGGGGCTATTCTCTATGGATTCCCAAAGTTACACTGGAAGACCACGGAGGCATTTCTTCTAAACACTGTGTATGGGAGCCATTGGTGAAATAGTGGGTAGTGGTGGGTGAGGACGAGACAGTTGCTACTGATGTAGTTGGGTTGAAAGAGGCCATTTGCATAAGTATATCTTAGAGTATGATGAGAGAAGTGATTACAAAATCTTTAACTGTTTGAAGTAGATTGTGCAAGCATTCCCTGCTGTCCAAGAACATGCCCAAGCTGCACACAAGAGAAAGCATTTGTCTTCTGATTCTGAGACTAGCCTATCCCATGCTAGTGATTAATTTACCCTGTGTTGCTGAGCTAGAGCCATAGTAACAACAGTTATAATGGAGAAAGGCAAAAATGTCCTCATTCTTCCTTTAAAAATTATTTAATTAATTTTACATGTATGAGTGTCTTGCCTGCATGCATGGCTGTATACCACATGTGTGTCTAGTTCTATGAAGCCAAAAGAAGGTGTTGAGTCCTTTAACGCTGGAGTTACAGATGGTTGTGAGTCTCCATATAGGGGATGATGGGGCAGGATCCAGTCCATCTCATTGTGTCGTTCCTGGGCCAATGGTCAATATATATATATGTTCAGGCATCCAGGCTGACAAACATTAGGTAGAGAGTGAGCATAAATTGTAGATCTCCATTGGTTCCCTCTCCTCAAAGCTCAAGGAACCTAATGGAAGATGGGGAGCAAGAATTCTTGGAGCCGGAAGGATGAGGACAGCAGAAGATCAGATTTGACTCAGCAGGGCTGGTAGGGAATAGCAGACACTGACACATCAATCATGGACCCTGTGTGGGTCTGCACTAGGTCCTTTGCAAACACATTATGGTTGTGAGTTTGGTGTTTTTGTGGGACTCCCCACAGTGGGTTTAGTGGAGGCTCTATTTTGCCTTTTCTTGTAACTGTTTTCTTCCTACCAGGTTGCCCAATCCAGCCCTGATGATGACAGTTTGTGCCTAGTCTTACAGTAACTTGTTGTGCCATGTTGGGTTGATGTCCCTGTGAGGCCTGCTTTTTCTGAAATGAAATAGAGAAGGGGTGGATCTGAGCAAGGGCATGGGGGCCAGAAGGAGGGGGGATATATTGTATGAGAGAAGAAAAAAGAAGAAAAAAAAAGACAAGAAAGGGAAAGAAAGCAGACTAAACAAGCCAGATGGGCAAATGAGTATCTTCTGTGTCTGCTCCCTCCTCCAGGTTCCTGCCCTGCTAGAATTCCTGTCCTGACTTCCTTTGATGATGAACTGTGATGTGGAAGTGTAAGCCAAACAAACCCTTTCCCCCCCAATTGATTTTTGGTCACAGCGTTTCATCAAAACAATAGTTACCCTTAGCAGGACAAGTACCAAATACACAGTACATTTACAGGACTCTGAGTGCTGGATTGTATACAACACAAAGCAGGGGTGAAGATGGAGAGTAAGTGGAAAAGTAGGGGAAGCTCTGGACAGGCTAAATGGAAGGTGTGGACTCGGGACTTACTCTCTATTTTCACGTTTAAGGGAAATGGCAGTTTTCACTAAGGAGGGAAGTGCTCTGGGTAAATGAAAGACTAGATGAAGAAATAGATTCAGAAAGTGATGATGGTAAGTATGTGAGTCTTTTCACAAAGAGGATGTGTTCAAAGAAGCCTGTCTTCAGGATGATGAAGTCAGGGTGATGATATCAGATAAACAACTCTCTGGAGCAAGCTGTAGGTCACATGAGGGGAGGGGAGAGACAGGGAGCAAGAAGGAAGCAAAGTGTGATCT